GGTAATGTCAGGATACCCTCTGCCTCATCCGATGGGTCAGTGTCAGGCACGGGGTAGGTCCGTCCACTGCGAGAGATCGTCTGGAAACAGAAAATGGGAGAGGTCGTCCACACGTCGCGCCACGGGAGGGGACCGGTTGTATCCTGTCGATGATTACTGGACACCGAGTAGTGACAAGCGCGATCTGTGTGTTAAGGGGAGCACCGGTCTCATTTTGGAGATGTGTATATGGAGGGTCGCCAGCCACGCGTCGTAAGAAGGAGTCCAGGATCCTGGGGAACGGTCGTATCTGGGTGATGATGGTGCGGGAGCGAGTTTAAGTGGCAGGGGAGATGATGCGGATGGTGGGGAGAGCATTGGTCTCGCTCGGAAGCTGCTTCCAGTAACATAGAATCCCATTTAGGAAGATCCGTCGCGTATATCAAAGCTCGTTCCATCATAGTGCAGATGGTCTGCAGGGGCCATGAGGCGACGAGCGGTGTGTAGCACACTCGGAGACCTCACAACGGACATTTGACTCATTGGGATTGTGTTTTGGGCTTTGTAATTGTGTCTTGGCAGTTGTATAAGTATCTGAGGGTGTTTCTACGATGGACACAGCATCTTCCCCTGAACTAGTAGGCTATATGCTTGCACATTGGATTGATCTGGGATCCTCGGCGAATGCACCCTCTTAGAGTAGCAGTATTAGTCAAAATCTTAATTGTTTCTGAATCATATATTATTCTGGAAACACACTTGGGCTCTGCCTGGAAACTGTTAGGAACTCTGTGAATCTGTTTGAACTGGGACTTTTTTGAAAGAAACATTATTGTTGTTGTTTGCAGAGTGGGTTTCAGAAAGTACCGTCTAGGGAGAACTTTGGAAACGTGACTGCTGTGCACTGCTCAGAAAGTACCTTTTTAGGGAAAGCTCTGTGAATGCTCTTGGCCTATAAACTAGGGGCCTTACTTGAGTCTATGAGACTACTTTAAACTTGTTTCTCTGTCGCTTGGACACACATACACACTGCGAAGCTATAAATCTACTTTGTTTGGAAACTATGTTTCCACTGTGTCTAGAAACACGTTCTATGCAGTTTTCTCTTCGTCTCTTTGGATATAAGAAACCTCTCCCTACAACCTTTACAAGGCCCTGTACTAGGGGCTGTAACTCGTTGGATCTCTGGAAACGTGCAGATATTGCTGTTTGAGTTGTTTGTTGGTTATTGGAACAGTCTCTGGACTGTTTCTGTGCCAATCACGAGTCAAGTGGGGTTATTTGTGTGTTTCTTATATAGGTTCTGAGCACATCAATCAGCGTGACAATGAGGTAGTACTTCAAGCAATAAATGTGTTTCCACCCATTGAACACAATCTGCTGGTTACGTCGTGGGTGCGCAATCTTCTTGAGGGTCCCATCTATGGCAGCTGTAATCCCTGGGGCAGGAGATCCCTTGGCAAAAATGGTGGCAGCGAAGTAAGTCAGCCTCTCGGGAGTAAGGTGCTCTGCATTGAAATGAAGGAGATGTTTCAACCAGCTCCAGAGAAACTCAGCAGTTAAACAGGTGATTTGTGAGGTGCGACTCGCTTCCCATCCAAATTCTACCTCCAGATCCACCAGCCTACATTAGAATGCAAGCCGATGAAGAAGCATGCATAGTGCAGTGACTTTATCTTCACGAATATAGTTCTCTTCTCAGTGTATGAACTCAGGGAGATTGAGAACATCAACAAGGGTATGGACATTGGCACGCATAACTCTAAACAAATCGCTCTCAAAATGTCCTGCCAATGCAACATAATTGATCATGCCAAAACACCTCCATCCATTCATCATCCCCAAATGCATTGAGACCAATCCGACCACCCAGACGAAGTTGCAGTACCTCCGGGAGTTCATCCCACGCATCAGAGACAGCTGTGAGTGTGGTGGTGAAGCGAATCCTGGACCCTGAGACAGCTTTCTCCATTGTGGAGAATGGAGAATGTAAAGGTGTAGAATGTATATTTATTAGCTACATGCATTGGCCTCATGTAGCAGATGCCATGAGCCACCACATTTTCGGAGCCACCAGGTTGCGCATGCTGGCCGAGCCACCCAGTGGCTACCGGTGGCTGATGCACAAGCTATCTATTATCATATCCAATAGACCCTCCTGTTTTTGGTTGCCCCACAGCGCGAGCACCTGCCAATAATCAGCTCATTTGTACGTAATGGGATTGGCAAGACATGTCAAGTACTTAGTCGCCAAAGATTGATTCCAGTATAGGTTCCACTTGTGCTTGACCATAGTCTTTGTCCGATAGAAAAGTTTCGGAAGCCTTTTTGAGCTGAAGAAGCTGCTCTTCTGTCAGAGTGGTCATTCTGCGAGATATGAAAGAAAAATTAGACAGGCAGCTGTGCATGTCAAGAAATTGTTCTGCCTGATGCGCACCTCGGTCAATTTGCACACTCAGAAAGTTGGTTGGAATTGTCAGAATTGTCATGCGAAATTTAGCAGAAAATTAAATAATTGATTGTCAGGCCCTGACTGACAGTTATTTGTTAGTCAGCTGACAATTAAATTGTCATGTCAGCGGACCCTATCGTGCTTAGTCTCTGCTTTTGCCCGCATTGCAGGTTGATTAGCTCCAGATAACCTATCCACCTTCCTGCCAGAACGTCTTTCCCCGCCATTTCAACAGTGATTCACCGAGTCCTCGCCCTAGTCGCCCCAGATATAGTAATCGCACACCCAGATCATCCCAGAGCATTCGCGCCCCGAGTCACAACAATACCTGCAGTCTCAGCATTGTTCCGACTTGCCTCAGCATGTACTCCAGTCGAATTTGCTACTTTTCCGATCTTCCGAGTTGTTGAACGCTTTCCCAATGCCTCAGAGTCATTTGGACCTGGTCCTGAGCCGCTTCGCAACGCCTAGTTTGTCCTTGCTGCTACAGACCCCACTCCGTACCGAAACACCAGGATGCATTTTCATTTGCTTCACTCAATCTGTGCTGCACAGGTGAGAAGTAACTCGGACAAAGTGTACTCATATACACTTCAGCTGCTTTGGGCCATACCGTGAGTGTAGTGTGAATCCGATATACCGGTTGCAAAGGGGGGGATCAAGGAAATGTGAACCCCAGTGCCAGTTTTCAAGTAGATCCTGGGCATAACCAACGTCATTGCGAAGTTGCCGGAAGGTCGGAATATTTTATTGGGTCGCAGGTTCGTTCCCGGAAAGAAAAGAACAGTCAAAGCAGGTAAGGTCTCCTGGCAAGAATTTAAAGACTAGATGGAAGACTGGGGCAGACATGGAACATAGGCCGCGGCCTTCCAGAATAGGTCACCGAGCGGGGTCGCAGAGATAAGGGTAGTTGAGATGATAGACAGTTTTCCGAGCAGATACCGGCGGAAAAAATGGTGGACCAAAAACTTTCAATGTTCCCCAAGCAGGAACGAAGGTATGTTGAACAGTGTAAGCCAAGGTTGGCAAGGCCGACACCCGAACGTACAGAGTTCAATTTCAGGAGAGAGTTCTGTGATAGGAGCCGACTGGGAGATATTGGATTCATAGCCTGAGATGAGCGAATGTTAGATGATCGGCAAAGACTCGGGAGTGTTGTAGGTCGACTCGGGGAATTGCTGCAGCAAGGACGAACTAGGTATTGCGAAGCGGCTCAGGACCAGGTCCAAACGACTCTGAGGCATTGGGAAAGCGTTCAACGACTCGGAAGATCGGAAAAGTAGCAAATTCGACTGGAGTACATGCTGAGGCAAGTCGGAACAATGCTGAGACTGCAGGTATTGTTGTGACTCGGGGCGCGAATGCTCTGGGATGATCTGGGCGCACGATCACTATATCTGGGGCGACTAGGGCGAGGACTCGGTGAATCGCTGTTGAAATGGCGGGGAAAGACGTGCTGGCAGGAAGGTGGATAGGTTATCTGGAGCTAATCAACCTGCAATGCGGGAAAAAGCAGAGACTAAGCATGGTAGACATGACAATTTAATTGTCAGCTGACTAACAAATAACGTCTGTATGACCAACAAACGATTTTGTTGATCCAACTGACGGGAGGGTTGAATTTTGGGGGAACAAAAGCCTATATCCCAAAACACCTCAAAACGCTTTTTCGCCTTCATCTGCCATTAGGATACGAGGAGTTGAACCCCGCACTGCCTCTGCAAATTCAAAGACCGGCACTTGGAGAGGCGGTGTACTGTACACCTTGTCCGAGTTACTTTCTACCTGATCAGCACAAATGAAGCGACCATAAATTAGGTAAATAAACGCAGGTGCGCTCATGTCCGGCAGGCCGAATCGCTGTTCGAATGCGTCCCGCGCTTGGTTGATCCAGATCGAATTCCTAATGCCGCGGCACGGTATTTGGAAAACCAAACCAAAAGCTGCTCACCAACCGCCCGACCACCCAAAAAAACTCACGCCGAAGTCGATAATTCGTACACAGGGTGTCGAACCCGCAAACCATCCCGGCGCCCACCCAACCGGGAAGGCGGTGTACCATGCACCATGTCCGAGGCCACTTTCTATATATGCGACACAGCTCAAGTGAATTCAATTGGGAGCCATGTGCGAAAGAAATTACATATAGGTCGGTTGGTTGATTCCAAATTAAGCCTGCCCCATGGTCGAACTTTGTGAGTGCAAAATCAGAAGCGACCTGACAAGTAGCACCATTCGAGCCTGCGTCAAAAAAAAAACAGCCGCAGGCCATCTGGACATTCGGACACAGGGAGTCGAACCCCAATCGGCCTCTCAATTCATGTATACACTTAATTTAGGAAGGCGGTGTACCATAAACCATGTCAGAGTTGCTTCCTACATATGCAACATGGGGTAGAGTGAAACAAATTGGGCAGGGTCGATTCAATTGGGGGCGGTATGAGGTTGGTTGGTCGGTTGGTTCGGAATAAATACTGAGCCGTGGATTTGGCCTTGTGAGCACAAACACAGAAGTGACTAGCGCCATTCGAGCCTGCATACAAAAAGAGCATGGCAACTTAGTGTTGAACTCGGACACGGGGAGTCGAACCCCGATCTGCCTCTGCCGATTCACTCAATTGGAACTGGGAAAGGCGGTGAACCAGTACACCATATCCGAGATATCAGGTATCTTTCTACCTGACAGCATAACATCATCTTCAAGCCCGCTTGAAATCGCAGGTTCGGCCTTGTTCAAACCGCCGCGATAACGAACGTAGATCTAGATAACAGAAGATACGTAGATCCGATCCCCTCCGATCCGCAACCGATTGGCCACGCTTGATCGCCTGATGCATGCATCATGATTGGGCACAAGGCTTTGCCGCGGCGCACAAAGAGTCGAGCAACTCCACAACGTAAGAGCTGGTCAGGAGGAATTGAGATTTAATTTGAGAGGTGGAACGGAACGGAATACAAAATACAGGGCAGTGGTACATACTTTGCTACTTACGGTTCGGTTCGGGTGTGATCTGATTAATAGCGAGACAAGGAGGGAGGCAGGGTGGCCTATGCCGATATGTATGGAATGGAAGTCATGTTTCGGGGGAGATAATGGAGGGGAGGGTGGCGACAGCGAGGGTATGATGTGCGGCGCAAAAAACGAAAGTATGGTAACGTTAACCAAGAGAATGGGTTCTAGGTGGGTGGGACAGCGTCGGATTGTTCGTTATGGCACGGCGCGGATGGGCGGTGGGGCAGCACCCTACGGGATGATCCCGTCGAACTCGCCCTCCTGCACGCGGATCTCGACGACCTCGACCTCGTAGTCTGTGAGCGCCGAGTTGGTCGAGAAGACGGAGGTGGAGATGAACCCCGTCGAGTTGGGCGGCGAGGTCGAGGCGAGGTCTGTAATTAAAGCAAGCGTGAGTAGGGAGCCTCGGGAGAAGTACAACAGTGATGTGGCTGACATCGATCCTTGATGTACGGCGGGACGAATAGATCCTAATTAAAGTGTTGATTTAGTCGCTGGATGAAAGAAAGAAAGTAAGAGGCGCAACGCACCTGGTTCCACACAAAGCCCTGGCCGCGCTGGATGGTCAGAATGGGCCGTAGGGTGTACACCCGCTCCCGCTGATGCGACTGGCGTGGGGGGCCGGCGTTTCGGCGACGGCGGGACTGGGTCCACTGCGCGCTGCTTGCCCTTCGTCTGCGCCTGCGGCGGCGGGGGGGCTCGGGCTGCTGGCCGGCTCGTCGCTTGCGCCCGCGCCCGTCCCCCTCGGCATCGACGTCCATCTCCATATCATGCGCTAACCCCGTCCCCGACGTCCGCCCCACCCCCACCCACATCCGCCCCGTCCCCAGCTAGATGCCCGCCGTCCTCCGCGCCGGAGTCGCCCTCCCCACCGTCGTCGTCCGACCCGTCTGAGCCGCTCTCGCTGAACGAGTCCTCGTCCTCGTCGTAGTCCTCGTCGCCGTGGATCTGCTCGTAGCACGCCCACGTCGGCGGAGACGGCAATCTGCGCTTTGATGATGCGCGTCATGCCGCTATCAGCGCTTCGGCACCACTTGCCGCCGGGATCCTTGAGTGCCGAATTCGATCTCTTCTGGTGGGCTGTGAAGCAGCCACCGCGCTCTTGTTGAACGTTAATTCTACATTCGGGAAACACGAGGCCGGCGGACAGCACCTGCCCCGCCCGAGCTCAATTGGCTGTACCGGCCCCCGCCGCGCCGCGCACTCAATGATTCCAATCTTGTTCCAATCTCAAGCACAGAATAGGAGCGTGACATCACCCGTCAGGGATATGGTTTCCGCCGATTAAAACACATCCTATGCCTTTCGAACGGAGCTTGCAAGACAATCAGTCTGAGCGCCTCAAAATGCAGGCCGGGCTGCTCCGGGAGGAGCTCGACGGAATCGAAGAGACTCATAGGGAGGTAGCATCGGAAGACCGGAAAAAATCTTGAAGGGTGTAAAGAAACCGGCACGAACTCGTACTCTTTTGACTAACTCTGCATACTAACCATTCCCAGCGCTACGATTTCTGCTCTACAACCTTATGCGTGGCGTGCGAAGTGTTATTGAGGTGCATAGATCGTAGACTACCCTGCATCCTCTCCCTCGCACCGAGGCGAAGCGGCGCGAGGTGCACGCGCACCATCCGGGGGTGATTGTGAGACGCCGTCGTCGACCACGATGAGTAATCGACGCGAAGGGGGCGCAGAGCCGCGTCCGGATGGAAGGATGATCATATGAGGAGATGAAGAGGGAGGTCAGACAAGTTACACTGGTTCTTGAGCTCGTTCCTAACGCGGACGCGGCGCCGCCCCATCCCGAGCACCTGTGGCTCCCCTCACTTCTTCCTCCCACCGATGCCTTCCCCTCTCCGCGCAGGCGATGCGTGCGGTGCGAGGAGAAGCCGGGTGATGCCCATCATGTGCGCTTTCCTCATCCCCATCTCCATCCACCATCTCGCTCCCTCCTCCCTCTCCTCGACGCGGCCGATGCGGTGAGCGGGGTGGAGGCGTGTCCGGTGACCCATGTGCCGCTCTCCCTCTTCTCCTCCCGCTCCGCTCCTCTTCCCTCTTCTCCATCCTGCGCCGCATACGCGCAGGTCGATTCCGCGTCGGCGAGCGTCGTGCGAGGTCCGGGTCGTCCTGGCGCTGCGCCTCGGGCCAGGATGCAAAGAAGCCGAAGAGCATTATCCGGTAGCAGGGCGGCGGGACGGTGGAAAGAAGGACAGGGAGGGGCAGCGGGAGAGGGTGCGGGCGAGGAAGATGCAGAGGTGTGCGCGTTTCCACGTCCTCCTCTCCTGCTCCTGGCCTCCACCACCCCCTCCTCCTCCTCCTCCGCGCTAGATAGCGGCGCAGCCCGTATATGCCCGTCCGCGTCCAGACTACACACCCCCTCAGCGATCGCCTGGTCTTCCGGCGCTCTTCCCTTCTCCTCCTCACAATCACCTCTCGAGCACAGACAGGGACGCCGCCCCTGAGATGATGCAGACGTCTTGTATACGTCGCGCCGTACCTTCCTCACGGCGTCTCTGCCCCGCGGCGCGCACGCCTCTCGAGGACCGCGCCACAATTATCGATGTAGGGCACACTCTCCGCGCTCCGTCGTACCCACCCTCGCGCGCCAGTCTGCGACGTGACGTGCGCCGGACGAGACGGCCCTCCCACTCCCACCACCACCTCCGCGCGCGATGCAAGCCGATCCCACTCCCCGCCCCGGACGCGTGCGGATCCTTCCCGCGCCTATGTACGCCCACGAGAAGCGGCGGGTGCGGCCGCGCCACCCAGGGCCACGGCGAGCGATCTCTACCCGCTCCTTCTCCTCCCGCGCTCGGTGCTGTGCCCCGCGGAAAGGATGCTGCTGCGGCTGCCGCAGATGCGAAGGGGCTTCTGGTCGAGGGACCGCGCGCGGGGGACTCCGGAGGCGGAGATCGACTGATATTCGCGCCGTCGGAATGGGAGCAACGGGGATGACGCTCCCGGCGTCAAGAAAGCGTGACACGGGGAGAGGGGAAGCACAATGGGGACGAGGTCGATGTGGCGCAGCCGATGAGATGTGAGGACGAAGGGGAGGCCAGGCAGGACGTCGGAGTAACTGAAAGAATGCAGCGCGTGAGGAGGGAGGGCGGTGTACTGTGACTGAAGTCGCAGAGGAACGGAGAGCCGCAGCGTGTGGATCTTGTAGTACATCCATTAGTCCAAGTCGAGTGGAGCAAGACATGCGAGCGAGGAACGTACGAGCACCCCGAGCCACACGTTCCACGTGCTGCAAGGAATTTTCTCTCCCGCACCCACCACCCGCGCCCGACCCGGGTGGACGCAGGGGCATGTCCGCCCCGCGCCCGTACCCATCCCGACCGTGACGGGCCGAGCACGATGTAATTTGTTCGCCTCCTCCGCCCTGCCACTCCTGTGCGTGCCGCCCCTCATGCGCTGAGCACCGCACCCCACGACGAATGGGGATGAGGATGGGATGACGCTGGGCAGAGGGACCGAGAAGGTGCGTGATGTCGAAGTTATGGGCGGAGGGTCGCCTGGGTACGCGGAGAAGTCGAGGATGTAGTGCACGACCACGTTGTGCCGTGCGGAGCAGGAGGATCTCGGTCGAAAGAACGCGTCGTTGGGAGGCACGAGCGCGGCTGTACCAGCCTACACGTCTCAGGCAAGTATTCCATGTCGGGATGGGGAGGAAGCTACGCCGGATGCAGCATCGGCGGCAGTGGATCAGGAGAAGCGGACGCCGTCTTGCAAGGGGCCAAAGGAGGGGTAGACGGGTGAGGATGAACCAGAGAGGTGCGAGTGTCATTTTTGCACTGCTAACTCGTTAGGAAGGAAGAACGTGGCCGGATAATGAATTCAGTGCTTACATCGCGTACTTTGGACGTACGTATGGCGGTCAATGTAGCAAGGCCTGCAGAGTAGTTCGAGTTAGGAGCGACTCAGAAGCGTGAGGTTCGACATTAAAACAACTAACCCAACGCACGACACTGGTGTTCTAGCGAAGGGAGCTTTGGAGACCAAACGTCGAGATGCTTGCCGCAGATGTTGATTCCTTCAAGTCCGTCTCGGGGTGTGGTTTAAGTGAATGCAGAGGGTTTCGACGAGTCCTACGCGAAAAGCGAGCTGGCAGTGGAGAGCGGAAACAGGAGCTATCGTGATCCGTGTCGATCGGGCATCAGCTATATCGATCAACGCGGCTAAGAAATGCAGGTGGTCGTCTCCCATTGGACTGTATTTCCAACACGAGTACTCCAGTTCATTGTTCCCCGAGTTTTTCCTAGCTTTGAAAAGGCGCTTAATGCTGAGTTTTCGCTGTCAGTGCGAGATGAATGCCTGCTGTCATGCCGAAGCGCCACTGTCAATCCAAGTTTGACATCCACATAAGTACCGTACATGAACAACGCCGCAACTCCTATTAATGTCAAGCCCTCACACTGGGCACCATGCTACTATCCTCCAACTCATCGACACCGTGCTGGAGATCCTACGAATCCGCGTTCCAAGCGATCTAAAGCAGTTCATTCGGGAGCCCGAATGTGCCGGCCATCATCGCCGAGGCACCACATCGATCTAAGTTTGACATTCACGCAAGTACAGCACACGAACCATGCGGCAATCCACTTCCTCGGATCTGCCGTCACAGTCTTCTGACCGCAGCATGTCCCATGC